AAAACTCTGTCCCTAACCTCAGCATTGCTCATCCGGCTACCCCACCAGATTCGTGCAATGCTGTGTAGACAGTGGTGTTCAAACACCGACAATCTATTTTTATCCTGTTTCCTTAGTGGCTAAGTCTCTGCACCGTATAGCAGAACTGGCCGAACTGTCGCGCCATACACTCGATCCTTCACAGACAGCCGGATGTCGCGACGGCGCCACAGATGTCTCAAGTTGGTAAATGCCAAACGAGCCTTCTGTATGCAAGCTGACACTTCATCCGTGATGCGTAAACCGGGTGAGATGTAGCTGCCCAGATAACAAAACTTATCCACCTCCTCTATTACTTCCCCAGTGAGAGTGAGGCTGGGTGCTGGATCAACCCAGTCTTGTAGTAGCATTTCACACTTTGAAGGTGCAAAACGCAAACCGAACATAGACACACTAGCACTCAAACTATCCAGAAAAGCTTGCAACTTACCTGGATCTTCACTTAGTAGCACAATGCCGTTTGCATCATCTAGATCAGACAGTCTACCACTTGGGAGTAAAGCTATGCCACTATCCTCGCACGAGGATAGGGCAAAGTAACACAACGTCTCATTTGTGCATAACACTGCATTCCGGTTTTCCGAAAATATGTGATTCATGTACACATACCGTGTTGGTATAAAACAACAGCTCGATAATATAATCCCAATGATCATACTTCTCAGTAACATAAATAACTCAATAAAAAACATAGACAATCGAAGTGGCACGCTACACAGCATGGAAAAATTCATTTTTCGGGAGCAAAGCATTGGGATTCATGGATAAAAATGAGCGGTTATGGAAATCATATACATAACGATTGGTTGCTTAGTCCGGTGGTAGCCACTTCGATCGGTTACTTATTTTTGATCAGTCATCTTCCCTGAGTGAATCGTGATTGAAGTAGAAATCCTGAACAGTTCGTTTTCAAGGTGAATGCTAACTTTCTGATAGTTATTACTACTGTGATCCCTCGATGCTTTCCATTTGATAATGTGAATTCACAGTCTACCTCCAAGAGGTTGGTTGTCGTCTGATAAAGACTACCAGCCAGATTACCAGCTTTTGATCACCAGAGTATGACGCAAATGCGTACGGATAGGTCTCGTGAACGTGCAGTGTTCGAACAGGGGGCTACTGGTTGAAAAGTCAAGGGTAGTCAGACCGACCTGGCTTGAAGACATGAAATTCTGGAATAACTGATCTCCTCGTATAGGTCATTTCACGGTTCCACAGCTAATATCATTTAGATAATTATAACTGAGGATTCGAATGCTCCATGTGATGTGAATGAGTGTGATAAATGTTGGCAATAATGCTTCCCGTTAGTTTCATATCTCTAAAAAAAACAGTAACTAATCTAGAGCAATGAGGTGCAGGGTTATTACCGGTTGTCAACGTTGTTTTGAAAATCAATGTTCTCACAGAATTTTATGAATCTTGTCAAAACAAATGCGCATTAAAAGTGTTGCAAAAGGTGCAGTGTATTATTTGAGTGGAATTCCGACAATGAATTAACTTTCCGGTTCTTATAGCTGTTGTGACAAAGACAAGTTGCTAAGTTGCAACGAGTACTGCTCTGTGTTGTTGAACCGATAGGAAAACATAAGAAAGAACAATCGAGAACTCAAATTAAGGAAAACCTCAGCCATTGTAATCAGAATATTTTTGATAAGGTGAAACTACTGACCTACAGTCTACAAGATTTGCATCATCTTGATCTTTATGCGACTGCGAACAACAAGGGAAAAAATGGTCTCATACACATTCCGTATGAAGTTTTGTGAAACTCCGAGACGAAAATATCACTATCATGCAAATTTAGTCCGGAGATTGACACGATTCATTGGAATTTGCGATATTTCTTGTTTCTTTTGCACATGTTTTGAAATATGCCGACGATGTTGTGCTGTGCCAACCTATTTCTTCTTCCTCTGATCACGATCTCACTTAAGGTAAGGTGTCGCTCGAGAAGTGCGTTGGAAGTTTCAAATTTCAGTTTAGTGTACGATCTGATACACAGATCCCGGTCTAGGTTTGAACTATCTTTCGAGCTCGGTAGTTAGAGTAAAATGTTTAACCATCAACTAGGATGACAAGGTCAGCCAGCAACCCGGGCTACAACATCAAGTAACGGTTTCCACAAGTTCGTGTTACAGATGATTAAAAATTAGTCAAAGTGATAGTATAAAGAGACAGAAGTGTGGGATGCAGGGAACTGCAGCCAGATCACAAACAGTGTACAAAAATAGCATAGACCGAAGTACCGACATACCTTTTGTATAGTTGTAGACGAAACGGATGACTCCCGTCGACCATTAAACCCAGGAATGACTGACATCGCTGGATATCTTGTTGAAAAACCGGGACGCCCTAAACACAAGAAAGCGGGTTTCTAATATTGAACAACGCCATACATCGAAATAGAACGAATAGTATTGAATTACTAATTCTTCAATGGATACGTCTGACTTACGTCCAGTTCACTAGTTACTTTGTTCTACCAGTTTTCGCAATCTTTCCTAAGGGTTTTCCTGAGCTTATGCTGCAGATGCTACCTGCCCCTATGCCAATCCTGGTCGGCTTTTGTTCCATCAGAACTACTGATTCACGATAGATTCAACGTACTAAACGAAATTTGGGTTTGGCCCTACAAGAAAAATTTGAAACCGAGTGCATTGCACATCTACGTTGATTTAACTGGATCTAAGCTACCAAATCAAGGTAGTCTTTACTCCCCTCTAAGCTTTTCATAACGGATGCATAAAGCTGCTCCACGCAAACGGTGATAAGCTAACCAAGGCAGCATGTTATTTATTTATTTTCGCACGTCTGAATCCAGACTGTGCTATAGTAATAATATGAAAAAGAGAAAAATTTCAGGATTTCCATGTGGGCGGAATACTTCCAGGTTGCCCAGGCCAGGCCAGGTGAATTTTCTTGAGGAATCCACAACCGAAGCCTTTGGCTAGCCAAAGCCGCAAGGCAGCGGGGCGGTGTGTGAAAACAGCAGTCCATTGGAAGCCGGTGTCCAGTTCATCGGATCATACGCCCTTCGGACGCGGTCAGACGTCAAAGTACATAATACACCTCGATACCCAATCGGGCCGGTGACCACTGCCACAACCGAAAGGTGTGGGTGTGATTTGTACGCCTCCTCATGGTTGGTACGGAATCAGGTT